ATGCAAAAGAAGATGATGTTGACTCAACCCAATATAGAAGAATTATTGAGTCATTAAGATACCTTTGTCATATGAGGCCTGAATTAGCATACAACGTGGGTATGGTAAGTAGATTCATGCAGAAGTCAAAGGTATCACATCTAGCAGCGACAAAGAGGATACTAAGGTATCTCAAAGGAACTCTCGACTATGATATTTTATTTCTGCAGGTGGTAAAGGAAAAGAATGCAAGTTAGTAGGGTACACTGTTCGAGTTGGTGTAGTGATGCTGATGATCAAAAGTCCACAACAGGTTATGTGTTTATGTTAGGTAGTGCATCAGTTGCTTGGAGTTCGAGAAAGGAATCCGTAGTGTCATTATCATCGTGCGAAGCAGAATACATAGTCGATTCTCTTTGTGCATGTCAAGCAACTTGAATGGTGAATTTGATCAAAGAGATAACAAGGAAAGATTGTGGAGCAATTACCATGAAGATCGACAACATGTCTGTTATCAATTTGGTGAAGAACCCGATAGCTTACAACCTAAGCAAGTACATCGAAATGAAGTTCCACTATCTTCGAGAGCAGGTAGAAGAAGGAAAGATGACTTGAAACACTGCAAAACTGAGAATCAGATTGCAGACATCATGACAAAGGATGTGCAGGTCGAAGTATTTCGAAGACTAAGAGATATGATGAATGTAAATAGCTTAGACACAATGAATTAGGTGGTATGTTGAAAGAGTAATTCCTTGTGTCGAAGAGTTTGCTCGATAGAGACAGGGAAATGTCAAAGCATAGTGCGTTGAAGATACTGCACACAAATTTGATTTTAGATCTAAATAGAATATATTTGATTTAGTTCCAAAATAAGTATTTTGTACTTTTACAATTTTGGGCTTTGGTTTAGGGAGCCAGCTAACCTAAATCTATAAATATGGAGTAACCTGTATTTTGCAATCAAGTCAATCAACTCATTGTATTCACAGAATTTGCAGTTGTAATTGAATAGTAAAGTTTTCACAAATTATGGACAAAAAGAAACTCTGCAGAAAAATACTTTATTTCTTCATCTTTTATTTTTCATTGTCATTGTGTAGTGATATCAATCTTGTTCATAAATATTGGTAAAAATTCATCATAGGTTTTGGTAAATTTTCCACAACAGAAGCAGAGGAAAAAATCGTTGGTAGTTGAAAAGTTTTTAGAAAGTTTTTTAATTTGATTGTGAAAGTTTCTTAATTTCACGTTTCACTTACAATTCATTCTCACACGTGCTTAAATATACATTCAAGTGTTCATCATTCTTTTGCTCAATTTTGATTTCTCTATCATATTCTTCAATGGCGATTTTATTCCTTTTTAAATTTTGTTTTTTATTTTATTCATTCAATTTTAGAGCATGTTTTGTTTTTTTTCTTTCTATTTCATGGTTGAATTGAAGAACTCCAGTTTCTCGTAGTAAGCCGAATTGCTTTGTTTTGCTAAGGCTTGCTGTGGTTGTTGAATCTGAGGTTGAAATGGAATTTTCAATTCTGGAAATTTCTCATTCATAATTCATAGTTTTTTTTGAATTAAGAATTAAATAAAAAATAATAATTGATTTGATTAATGTAGGTTAATCTTCATTTTTGTTATTTTTTGGATGGAGGGTAAAGTATAGCTTGAATCTTAAGAGGATTTGTGGCGTGGAGGAGAATAATGTAATTGACTAATGATGGGTGTTAGAATTGAATTTGTTATTGAGATCTATTTTTGATTGTGTTAAAAAAAGTGAAAGATTTGTTTCTTGATTTTTTTTGTTGCTTTCTTTTTTATGAAATGTAGATTTTGATTCATTAAATCAGATGAGTTGAAGAGATATTTTTAATTTGATTGTGAAACTTTCTTAATTTTCTTTTAGAATTTTTAGAAAGTTTTTTAAATTTTAATTTTATTGTGAAATTTATTTGTATAAATAAATGAGAGGAAGTTTTAGTTGCGGTTTGATATGGTGTATTAAATTATTGTAATGGAAAAAATTCAATTTGATTTTTGAAAAAAAATGATTTTTCTGAAATACACTTTATTTAAAAAGAAGATTTTGATTTATTTAGGATGATTGAAATTTGTTCACGTTGATTTGTTCATGAAACTGTGTGGAAAAAAAAAATATATATTAATAAACTTAAATTTCATTAATTATGAAATAAGAGAAAATGTTAATTAAAGAATGAAGTAAATTAATAAAAACTCCTAACCTAAAAAAAGTTAATTATGATTTTTAAATTTATTTAGTTTCTTTAGAATGAAGTAAATTATAGGTTTGAAGATTTTGCAAGTGAACTTTTCGTTTTTCTTTTGAAATTGGAGGTTCAATTAATTTTTTAATAGTAATAATCTATAAACAATAATATATTAATTTAATTTTAAATGCCTAATAATAATTAAGGATTTAAATAATGAAATTAATTTAGTTTAAATTTGTGTTTAATTGTAAAAATATTGTTAACAAATTTTTTAATTTATTTCTTAAATTGGAAAATATATTGAACATTTAATTAGAAAAAGTATTATCCAATAAAAATATTGTAAAATCCTAATCGTGATTAATTTAATTTACAATATCATTATTATTAATTTGACAAAATAAAATTTCAAACATTTAGATGGATAAATTATTATTTATAACAAATAGTGAAAAATGATGTTTCAAATTTGTTAATATAACTGAAATATTAGCGTGAAAATGATGTTGAATTTGCATGAGCATATTTACATAGTTTATTAATTTTTGACTGGATAGTGTCATAAATTTTATATTAGTAAAATTTGTAAATATAATCTAATAAGAAGGTTTTAAAATTAAAATTTTTCGAGTGACTGTGTCATACATTGTAGGTTGTAAAAAAATATAAATATAATATAATAAGAAATTTTTAAAACTAAAATTTGACGGAGAGCTTTCATACATTTTAGATTTGAAAAAATTAACTAATATCTAAAATATGTTTAATAAATTTTTAGAATCAACCGGAGTTGTTAACTCATCTGGAGTAGATGTGAATGTATCTATAAGATTTCAGTCTTAAACCGTTCAAGTTAATATCTATTTTTTAAATCTTTCTTTTATTATTGTTTTATATAATTAAGTTAGAAAATCAAATATACGATTTATTATAAGTATATATCAATGTTTAAAAATTGGTGTATATTATTATCACATATTTGTAATTATGTGAATGTCAATTAATTGAAAAACTAATTTTATATTTTATAAATAATGATCTGATAAATATATAATATAAATTAAGATGGGTTTCGTGCGATAGTACAGATTTCTTATTAATTTAATATTAAAAAAAATGTCTAACGTAATAAATCTTTCTTTTTAAAAAAAAAATTGTGAAAACAAACTTTTCATGGAAATCAAATTTTTTTCTTTCAAATCTTCAATATATGACCGATAATTAAAGCTTATTTATTTTTTCTTTTTCTCAGAGAAATAGGAGAAAAATATTTGTATGGAAATTGAGTATTTTTGAGAACAATGAAAGAAAAAAATTTTAAATTTATTTTTTAATCGAGATCAGATTGTGATAAAGAATGAGAGAAAAGAATTTATTTTATTTTTTAAGTAATAAAAAAGTTATAATTAATCGTTTTAAAATTCATTTGTTATGTGTTAGTTCATGTAAATATTTTTCTGAATATCGTAACAAACTATTTTTTTTTCAAAAATTTTAAATATCTTTATCAATTAGTCAACGTAATATATGATATTATTTATATTTTAGGTTATCGTAACTGAAAAAAAAAAAAACTAAATCTTTAGATTTTCATTAAACAAATCTAAAGTAAATTTAATTCAAATATTTCAAAAGATAAGATTGTTATTTAGTTTTTGAATTCAATATTTAAAATGCATGTCTATATATAGATATAGTCACAAGAATTGAAAAGCTTAAAATAAAGTTTTGCTGCAAGATATAAAAGTCATGGCAGAACAAAACCACAAAAATAATCCTTTCGACTCTTTTTTTAAGTTTGGTTTAAAAAGTGTGTTGTCAAATATTGCTTCAGAGTTCTTTGCGATAGAAGAATTAGCAAGTTTAGTTGAAATTGAATCCTCTTTTTCTTTAAAAGGGATCATAAGTAATGAGGAAAAAAAATATCACTTACGTGATGAAGGCAGTGTCTCCAATGGTGCAATAATACCATTACCTCCACCACCGTCACCGCCACCGCCACTGTTGGCACTGCCATTACCACTGCCACCACCGATGCCAGAATTGCCTGCTCATATAAGGAACAGGATCACAAACTTGAATGGTACTAATGCCATGTACGTTATGTGCAAAACATTGTACAAGACGGATCTTAACGTATATATCGTCTTTCAATGCCATGTAAAGAAATCAAATATGATTTTCTTACTGAGATAGAGAAGGCGACATTAGATACAAAGGAAGACAAAAGACCTGTTAGTTTAGAAGTTGTTGTATTGGATCCTTACTTTAGAGAGTTTGATATGTTATTAAAGAAGTGGAACATGGCCACTTGTGTTTACAATCTTATGAAAAATTGGAATCATCTTTTGAAGAAAAACAACTGGGTTGAACACAATAAACTTCATCATAGACTTCACATCTGGTCTTTTAGGATCAATGATAAGTTGCACTTTGTTCTAGATAATGAAAATCATGAGGAAGTTTAGAGGATCATTACTCATTGATTAGATTATGAGAAATTATAATTTTTTTTATAAGTTATTTTTTATGATGTAGCATGCGAGATATGCGAGTTTTGTTATGCAGATTTAGTAATGAACCATTTAATTTAATGTTCATATTCCAACATTATACAATTGTTTCAATTTGTATAAATATCATATATTATTATATAAAACAAAAAACTGTACAAATATCATGAAATAAAACAATAACTTTGTAAAAGGAAAAGAAAAGAAAATCCTCACATTGACATTTGTTACTTTCCTATATAAATAATTAGGACTCACTCAATCATAGTTTCATGTATCACTTTTTTCCTTTAATCTCTGATGATTGTGACTGTGGATCGCAAGTAAGTGTCGCGGCCGCAGATTCAACATGTGTAAGAAGATATTCATATATCTTCTTCCTTAGTCTATCAATTGTCTCTACCGGTATCTGACACGATTCTCCTTCGTTTTTGCTTGATCCTATCTCGTCCAACCAATCGTTTACGCTTTTTAGTTGAGTTAGCATACCTGCTATCTAACCATTGTTTGATAAACCAATGTCTCCGTCACTGTCCAAGAATTTCTCAACAAACAACAAAAACCAATCACGCGACTTCAATTGTAGCGTGTCAGCTAAGTTAACCGCCTCGTCAAGTCCATTTCCTCTAATCCAATCTGGAAGAGGTTGGACTATTTGCTTTTTCCCATTGGCTAATCCTTCGTTTTGTTTGCGCGGCGTTCCTGGTAAGGCTTGTTTGGAATTAGCTCCTGTCGGACGGCTTTTTCCTTGAGATTTTGATGACGCATCTTCTCTTGAATTTTATAGGACTAAAACCGGTTTACTTCCGAGAACACTCTTTTGATTTTGAGAATTACTTGCACTCGAAGCTTGAACATTAGATGATCGAGGCTCTCGGTTATAAACAATAAAGATGATAGATTGGTGGATAAGGCAGGTTGGACCCAAGAAGCTGCAAGTTTTTGTCTATTTGATTTGAGTTTTAATTCTTCTTCTGTCGTGATCATTTCGTTGTCTGGAGATGAAGATGAACCTTCTGGAATGGTTTTAGAAAGCGAATCAGCAATCATCCGTGCATTATTCAGGCTAGTGTGAAGAGTTAAAAACTGATCGATTGTACACTGAGGGTTAATTTCCTTGGCAGAATTACTTAGCTCTGCATATAAACTGCAAGAAATATACTGAACAGCGTCACAAATAGCTCGAGTAGTGGAAGAGGAAGATGGTAAAACTTATATGGTTATATTCAATGTGTGATTACATTCAATTACTTATATTTCCTCAAATAATCACTAGTGACGATGTGATAATCTCAGTGTCGTGTCGAACAAGGGATAAGCACATATTTCATCAATTGTAATATCAACATTATATCATTGGTATCGGTATAAATCAAATTATATCATGACGCGAGGAAGTTCAAAATCTCAAGCAAATTGGGAAACACAAATATCTGAAGTTATTCAAATTCGGTATATTCATACCTAAGACATTGCAGCAAACTCTCAGCTGCAGCAGCTTCTTGCATAGCTTCTGTTGTTGCCATCAGTGTTGTATCTCTGTGCTTCATTACTTCCTGTCAAGATAAGAAAAAATAATAACAAAACATTCATAGAATCAGTCAATTGGGAGTGGCAATGGAGTACTAATGATTCAGCTAAAAGTCAAATAAGCTTCCAAAAAAAATGAGTTATAAGTGGATATGTATACCCTCCCAAGCTTTGCAATAGATGAAGGGAGTGAAGTCCATTGAACACTTGCATCAGTCACTTTTTTACTATTTATCAAAACCTATTGGATTTTGGATTTTAAAACATTTGCCACCGAAGAAATTACCAGGTTGAGTCGCAGACTAGGTCGCTCTCTTTAAGACGTTTCGCGACACTGCTCAAAAATTATGCAAAGCAGTCAAACTACCGCGCCGCCTCTAGGATAAAACAACCCAGTTCTATACTATACGATTATTACTTGCATGATAGATAATCGGTCTAGAAATACACCCTCTGATGGTACAAGACCATTCAAATATGGTATCAACACCACTCGTAGTATCTGGTACAAAGACCAGTCATAATAATTTCTCAAACAAAAGAAACTCAAATAATTCTCCAAAGAGAATATAATAATGGTCATTTGACCACTCATAATAATTTCTCTAACAAAGAGAAATTCAAATAATTATCCTAAGAGAATTCAAAAGATTAAACTTGAAAATTTCTCAACTCAAATGAGGAGAAATTAACATAATTCTCTAAAGAGAATTCAAGAAAATACTCAGAAAATTCAACGAGTAGGAAGAAAGGGGAAGAAGATGGCGCTTAGACAATTCGAGAGACGCAGAGTTATGAGAGTGAGGAAGGAAAAAACTAATAGAATAGTTTTTTTGTGTGATTTGGAATGAAACATATGCGCTCCTTATATAGTGAAGTAGGATAGTTAATATTTCTCACATGAGCAATGTGGGACTAATGGTTTTTTCAACCAAAAAAAATATTCTAACAATGTGGGACTTGAGAAAATTTTTAAATTCAACATATTGAAACATGGACATGTTCCAACAATCCCCCACTTGAATTTAAAAAATTGATTTTAGAAGTAACGTCAAACGTTTATAAGATTGTGCATAAACAAAGGTGTCTATGACTTGAACCTTTGCATAGCAAGTAGGATTCAAATTCAACAAGAGTGACACAAATGTCTTGAACTCTATCTCAGACATCAAACCCGCACACAACCTTTTCTTAAGGTGTATTCTAATAGCCCGTGCTTTAATGGCCCTTCACGTGTATCCCAGTTTAATGAAGGCTCTAGGAATTCTGCCTCGAAAATCCATAGGAACCGGCCTAAGTTCCACAATCACATAGGTGAGTCTATCAAGAGTACTCCCGTAGCCTAGGTACTCCCTCATACAGAGTATAGATCTCATTAAGAGTTTTTATTATCTCATCCTCTTATTACTTCAGGATTCATGCTTTACTTGCATGATCATCTCATATTACTCATAACTTATTATTACCCATTGAACCTATTTCTTGGGATCTCCAGTCATTTAGGTCGGGTTACCATCATGAGCAATTAATTTTCCTATAGGAATTAGTCCCATCTTATATGATGTATTATAGACTTTCTCTCTAGCTAATCCTTTCGTCAAAGGATCTGCTAAATTTTCATCAGTGCGTACATGATCCACTCTTACAGCTCCTTTAGAGATACAATCTCTAACAATGTTGTGCTTTCTTCTTATTTGACGTCTTTTACCATTATAATAATGGTTCTCAATTTTTGCAATAGCCGCAGTACTATCGCAGTGGATCAACACAACTGACATATGTTTTTCCCATAAGGGAATCTCAGTTAGCAAGAATCTTAACCAACTTGCTTCTTCACTAGCAGTCGCTAATGCTATATTCTCAGGATAATATGTTTCTTTGATTTCCAAGATACAACTCATCTAGCTATGTTGAATACATAACCACTAGTTGCTTTGGAATCATCTGATAAGGTATTCGAATCTGCATCATTGTATCCTTCAGGTACAATAGGAAATCTCTGATAATGTAAACCGAGATTCATGGTCCTTTTAAGGTACCGTATGACTCACTCAATAGCTTGCCAATGTTCATTACTCGGTCTACTAGTAAACCTGCACAACAATCCCACGACATCTGCAATGTCAGGTTTAGTACAATCAATGGAATACCTAAGACTTCCAATGATGCTCGCATGTTCTGTTTGTCTAACACTTTCACCAGTGTTCTTAAACAGCTTCACGATTGGATCATTTAGTGTGCTCACAAGTTTACTGTCAAAGTAATTATATTACTTTAAGATCTTTTTCACATATTGTGATTGATCCAAAGAAATTCCTTGCTCGGATTTTGTGATCTTGATACCAAGAATCACACTCACTTCTCCGAGGTCTTTCATATCAAAGTTATTGCACAACGACGATGTCATATCATTAATGGCCTGAATGTTTGATCTAAATATGAGTATATCGTCTACATATAGACATATGATAGTGCAAATACAATTCTCAAATTTGTAATAAACTTATTTGTCACTTTCATTCACTTTGTACACATTCGATATCATTAAGTTATCAAACTTTACATGTCATTACTTTGGAGCTTGTTTTAGCCCACACAAAGACTTATCTAACTTACAAACCTTGCTTTCTTATCCATAGATCACAAATCCTTCCGGTTGTTTCATATAGATTTCTTCTTCTATGTCACCGTTTAAAAAAGTTGTTTTAACATCCATTTGGTGTACTATTAAGTTATAAATAGCAGCTATTGAAATAAGTACCCTAATGGATGTAATTCTAGTGACAGGAGAAAAGGTGTCGAAGAAATCTATATTTTCTCTTTGTCTAAAACCCTTGGCAACAAGGAAAACCTTGTATTTATCAATAGTTCCATCAGGTTTTAGTTTCTTTTTCAAAATCCATTTACAACCGATTGGTTTGCAACCAGGAGGCAAGTCTACTAAGTGTCAGGTCTTGTTAGATTCTAGAGATTATATCTCATCATTGATAGCTTCTTGCCATAACTGAACATCCAGAGATGACAAGGCTTCTTGAAGATTCATTGGATCTTCTTCTACATTATAAGCCGCATAATCAGGCCTATAGTCTTTAGCAACTCTTACTCGTTTACTTCGTTGAAGTTCTGTTTCTACATTGTCATTGCTTTCTGTTCTTATCACATGAATGTGACTCGATTGTGTGCCCCCACTATTTCTCAATTTGAAAGGAAATTTATCTTCATAGAATTCAACATCATTTGATTCTATGATCACTTTTTCCTTTAGGTCATAAAAACTACATGCTTTACTTTTTGTTGCATACCGAATGAAAACACATTCATATGCTCTACTAGTGAGTTTAACTCGTTTCGGATCCGGAATTCTGACATAAGTCAGACAACCCCAAGTTCTCAAATAAGACAAGCTTGGTTGTCTTTTCTTTAATATTTCATAAGGAGAGATCTTACATTTTGACTTGGGGACTCTATTCAGGACATAGCAAACAGTCAATAAAATTTCCCCCCACCAGTGAGGTGCAACACCAGAATTCATCATAATTGCAACAACAAGTTCAGTAAGAGTTCTATTCTTTCTTTCTATTTTACCATTCATTGTAAGATAGTATGGTGCAGTCGTTTCATGTATAATTACATGTATAAAATTCATTAATAAACTAGAATTATACAGTTTATCTATCACTACAAATTCTTATTATATCATTTTCAAATTCTTTACAAAAATTTAAACACATAAACTTCATTCTTCGTAATGGCGTACAAGTCTACCCCAATAGACTGACTAAACCATGTCTTATTAAAAGAAAATCAGAAACAATATTCTTTCTAATCTTAGGAACATGCATAACGTTCCTTAAGATTAAAGTCTTTTTGAAGGTGAAATTTAGCTTCATGTCTACAATTCCAGCAACATTCATGGTCTGGCCATCTACCAGCAACACTTTCTTATCATTAGTACTCGTGTATGTTTAAACATAACACGATCATAACAGACACAACGAGAGACGCAAGTGTCTATCCACCAACCAACATATCCATCAACCATGTTGATTTCAATGACCATAGCAATAAATTGCCCATTAACCAGGTTGACCTGTGCATTAGGGACAACACCAAGTTCAAGCTTACTTCTACATTTCTTAGTCATATGACTTGATTTTCCATAATTAAAACAAAGGGAAATCAGTGTCATTTCTTTTAGGTGGTGGTTGTTGCCTAGTTGGAGCTATTGGGATCATAAAAGGATTCCCATTCTTTATTCGGTTCACAATATTGCAGTCCTGATTCTTTAATCATTTGCCAAATGGCTTCAGAACTACACTGAATTTCTTTTTGTTGTTTGAAACAACCAAGAGTTTTTCTTTTTGATATTGTCTCTAAGATTCCCTTTTTGTTTTTAAACATTCAAACTATGGGGTAGTTTGTCAATAATAAAACCAATTTGAAATTGTTCATTTAAACACATACCTTTTGTGATGATCTTTTAAGCAATCTTTTGAAGTTCGTAACATTGAGCCTCCATCGACCTTACATCTTTGCATTTGATACTTGAAGTAGCTGCTAACAACATACTTCTTTGTTCTAGCTTCTACGTCATACTTCTTTTTCTGAGTCTCTCTGTTGTACCCCAAAATTTGCCCTCCCATTTCCTCAATATTTTCCCACCACAAGACCCTTGGAGCTCAAGATCCAGTTAGGGTTTCCTCTGCTCAAGACTTCTCCTAGCACTGTTGACCCAAATTAGGGTTTGTGTTTGCACAAATATATTTTGACCTAAAATGCCTAAGATGACTTTCATGCTTCATGTTGGACTCCCAAGTTTATCCATACCAAGTTTCAAGCCTTGATTCCAAACTTTGCCCAGTCAATTGGACAGTTGACCTAGAAATCAGCTGTATTGGGGAAAAAGTCAACTGTGGCCAATTGATAGTCAAATCTCATGGAAATTGACCCACATCAACATTATGAACTCATATGGACCATTTGATCAAATTTGGATTACAATTCCACAAGAAATTTGATCAGATCACCAAAAGGGCAAAATGGTCATTTTTAGGGTTTTGACTGCACAAAGGCAATTTTTGACTGTTTAACCTAGCCAATGGCAAACCAAGCTCACATATGAACTCAAGGACCCCATGGAATTGTCTTGACATACTCAACAAGTTCAAAAGATCCCAAATGCACAAGATTGATAGTTGAATTTTCCAGTCAATTGATCAATTTTTGACTGTATACTGAAAAGTCAAACTTTGACTTTTTGGTCAAAATCAAGTGTCAAGATTCATTTTTCATCAAAACATGCCAAATCATGAAACTTGTTCATCAAGAAATCCAAAATCACAAATTAGGGTTTGAAATGAAGATTTTTCATAACTTAGAATTTTTCTAAGTTATGAAAAACCCTAATTTTTTCCTAACTTTGTCCCACTTTCTCATCAAGATGCATTTGGATTCAAGGAAAAGTCAAAACATGAAAGTTGTAGTCCATTGCAAAATCTACAACTTTTATTCACAAAGTTTCCTCAAAAGAAGCTTGTAGCTCAAGTTACAATTTTTGGAACAAGGGTACCAAACCATTCTTAACTTAGAGAAATTTTGAACCATTTTAGGCAGGATTTTTTCCTAACTTCAAGACCACTTTTCACATGCTTCCACTTGGAATTTCAATTTGCATTTCAAAGATGGATTGTAGTACACATTCCAAGCTTTCCAAAATGTCCAAGAACTCATCAAACAACCTCATGGTTAGGGAGAATCGAATTTGGCAAGTTGGGAAAAACTCACTTTGTTCATGACCAAGTTACATGTCCATAACCTTGCATTTTTGAACTCAGCATGCCTTAAGCTAGATTACAGGTCTTTTATCTCATCTACACTCCATAATTTAATGCTAATCCTTTGTGCCAATGTGTTGTTCTATGAGTTTGGTCATTACATGGAAGTTTAACCCTTAAATAGAAAAAGCAAATTAGCCATTTTAGAAAAGTTGAACTTTATGTCAAATGCAAATCCAAGCAAGTACAATGCAAATCCTTTTGGCACAAGTTTATGAACTAATCACACTGATCAAGGCTAAGGTATGCAACATGGATTGGGGGCCTGCACAGGTCTAGAAAACCAAGTTGACATTTCTTGCTTAAGTGTGAAGAAAGCTTGCATAACAACACACAACTCTCATCTCAGCAAAAACCAACTTAAGCAAACTTGTTACACACATTCTAAACAATCACCCTGACCTGAAACACGAGCTAACCATCTCCATTGTCCTCTCTAACACAGAATCACCATAAAACTGCAAAAACAGGGCATAAGTTGCAGTTTGAATCCCATAGCTCATTTCCATCGTGCACTTTCATCCAAACTAGTTCAAACACTTTCCCTACCATCCATACAAACTGTCCAAAGTATTAGAAGCAGACTGTAACACCTCTAATCAGTTTTGCCATTTTCATTTCTTCCTCTTGCAGGTTGACTTCTGCAGCTTGATATAGAAGGTTTCAAAGCATACCAAGTATTGGAATAGCATCCTCAGACATCAAGCAAGCTATACAAATCATCATCTTGCCCTGAAAGCTCCTCCATTGCCAGACACGATTCCAACTGAACAGGTGAGTTCATGAACTCTTATCTCTCTATCCAGGCATTGTTAGGTTTAGATTTGTGAAGAAATTATGTCACATTCATGGCCCTGAACATGCCCATATAATTAGTTTTCATTTATGTTATGTGTGCTATGAGAATTTGAGGTCTGAACTTGGAACAAAAACTAGGTCAGGAATTGGGGGAGAAGAAATTCTCTCTCATTTCTGAGAGTTAAATCATGTTCTTTATATGTATGAACTCGTGAGATGATGCTTTACATTTTTTGTGTTGTGAGTTTTCATTAAAAGTCAAAGAATCAGGTTCTTGTTGTGGAAGCAAAGAGGCGCGCGTTTTCAAACAGAGATGGCTGGAGGTTGAAGAAGCTTGCCTTTGGGCTGGGCCTGTTTCATTTTTCTTATTTGCACCCTATGTTTACTTTTGAACCCCCTTGGCCCATTGTGCTTATTTGGAACATTTTCTTGACTTTTCTTTTATTTTCTGACTTATTTATTTTTTCTCATAATATTAAAAATATAAAAAATATTTTTCACACTATTTTTGTATTTATTAGACATTTATTTATTTAAATTGATGTTTGTACATAAATAATACATAATATCTTTTATTTAAAAAAAATACTAAAATTAATACCAATACATTTTATTTTCTGATTTTTATTTTATTTTATCTTTTGAAAATATTTTATGAAAATATACTTTTTTTGTAAATATTAAATATTTTATTTTTGTACATATTTAATATATTTATCATATAATATAAATATTTACATATGTATTAGGATATTTAGGATAAAAATACCAAAATATATACATTTTTATTTTTATTAATATTTAACATTAAAAATACCTTTTTGACAAATATACTTCTCTTTTATTTATTTTTTGTATATAATTAGTAAATATTGTATATAATACATAATAAAAAATTAATACCTTTTATTTAGTAAAATTAGGGTTTTTGCCCTAAACATGAAAAATACCCAAAAATTAATACTTTTATTTTTGTTTCCTTGACACATAAAAAACACTTTTTACATACACATAAAAAATCATTTTTGCATCTTGCATATTTATCTTATTTTATTTAATTATTGTATATTAAATAATTTGTATAATTCCATTTGGATTGTAATAGTCTAGGGTTTTAATTCTTGTCAAAATACCCCCATTTGAACATTTGTACCCCCCATCCCATATATTGTGTTGTAATAACTTAGGAACTTTATTTTTCGCATTTACAAGCTTTCTAAATATGCCATGCTAGAATTAGGGTTGTATGCAAATCAATTAACCAAAATAGTTTGACCTAATTTCAAAGATAATCAAGCATGAAAATGGACAACACTAATCACACTTGCACCCCTAGGGTATTTCACTTGTTGCCTTCAATAATGGGCCATATTGCATGTTAGGTATCTTTGGCAAAAACAAAACAATCAAATGATCATAGTCCCTCGATGACGCTTTCAAAAGTTGCCTAAAAAATGATCAAGTCCCTTAAAGAGAAAATTGCCCAAAGATACTTGGCACCATTGCAATTATGGTCTAAACGATGACCCGCGCCTGTCCCGTTCACATCCCAACACAAGATTGTCCACCAAATACAATGGTGGAACAAAATTGTTAAAAGGGTTTAAAATATAGCAAAGATCTTTGAGAAATTTAGGGTAGATAGCTCTTGATTACTTGTCAACTTGCAAAACAAAACACTTGCCTATTTTTCAAACCACACATCACTACACTTTCAAAACAACTTTCAAAAACATTGAAAACCTTTTCAAAAGATATACACCTTTGTATACATCCCAACATGGATCATTACAAAGGTTGCCACCACATTGGCCTCTTTTCAAAATACTTTCAAACCCACACACACAAAGCACCATTTCAAACAATTGAAAATTAAGGCAAGTTGATCTAAGCAAGTAACTAAGAGCCCATGGATAACCATGGATAGAAAGGGTGCTAATACCTTCCCTTTCTATAATCTACTCCCCGAACCCAAGAAAACATCTCAAAGGTTTTTGCTGTGCTTTTTAACCTTTCCTTAGGATAAAATAAAAAGTCGGTGGCGACTCTTGCTCAACCGAAACATTTGCGAAAACAAACGCAAAACCTCAAGTCATTTCTCCCACCGTATCACACTCTCAATCTTGTTTTGCAGTATCACATCAACTGTAATTATCATACAGATCATCTGCGAGTCTATTCAAAATATGATTTTGTAGAGATTTTCATTCTCTTTCTATAAGGTGATTTCTTTACTATACTGTAAATCATCTGTTTTAATTTGTGCAGCAGATTCATCTTCAACACTATTAAGTGTTTCTTCTAAATCTCCAGATTTACTACCGTTAGTTTGTTCGATTGTTCCAGAAGGAGCAACAGAATGTCATCGATCAGAATGTTAGCAACTTTTTTCAACGTTAAGAACTTCATCTTTTGTTGCCAACGTTTGAAGTGACTTCTCTCAAACATGAACGATTTCTCAAAGACAATATCCGCAAAAGAACCAATAATTTTTTCGGTAGTCGTGGAAGTTCGAAACTTCTTAAAATTGTTGGACTTTGGATTTTAAAACATTTGCCACCGAAGAAATTACCAGGTTGAGTCGCAGACTAAGTCGCTCTCTTTAAGACGTTTCGCAGCACTGCTCAAAAATTATGCAAAGCAGTCAAACTACCGCGCCGCCTCCAGGATAAAACATCCTAGTTCTATACTGTACGATTACTACTTGCATGATAGATAATCGGTCTAGAAATACACCCTCTGATGGTACAAGACCATTCAAATATGGTATCAACACCACTCGTAGTATCTGGTACAAAGACCAGTCATAATAATTTCTCAAACAAAATAAACTCAAATAATTCTCCAAAGAGAGTATAATAATGGTCATTTGACCACTCATAATAATTTCTCTAACAAAGAGAAATTCAAATAATTCTCCTAAGAGAATTCAAAAGATTAAACTTGAAAATTTCTCAACTCAAATGAGGAAAAATTAACATAATTCTCTAAAGAGAATTCAAGAAAATACTCGGAAAATTTAACGAGTAGGAAGAAAGGGGAAGAAGATGGCGCTTCGAGAATTCGAGAGACGCAGAGTTATGAGAGTGGGGAAGGAAAAACTAATAGAATAGTTTTTGGTGTGATTTGGAATGAAACATATGCACTCCTTATATAGTGAAGTAGGATAGTTAATATTTCTCACATGAGCAATGTGGGACTAAATGGTTTTTTTAACCAAAAAAAAATATTCTAACAATGTGGGACTTGAGAGATTTTTAAATTCAACATATTGAAACATGGACATGTTCCAACAAAACCTTTACCAAGTTTCCAGGAAATCCGGCTTCTGATGATTTCTTTCCAAAAGAGTTCCTTTGCTTACTTGATTTTTCTTGCTCTTCAATAGTTCCATCACCAATAACTTTCTTTATAGATTTTTGCATTTTGTTCTCTACCTTAGAGGACTTGGTTGGTGTTTGTGTCTTACTCTCATAATCTTTAGAAGAAAACTTTTCACTTGATGTACTTTTCCTAGGAGTCTGAAACAGCATAAAGTAAATATTGTTAAACATAATTGTTTGGATAAACAGCTTAATTAAGCGCTTATAGCATACATGTTAGTCATAAAAGTGCTTATGTATAGGCTACTTCTATAACAAGATACAATAAAATCAAAACGGTTTCATGTACGCTATAAGCTGTTTTTATAAGTTATTCTAGAAAGCTTATAGGAATAAGCTGAAAAGAACTTATAGACATAAGCTCTATTTAACAGTCTCACAAACTCTGATCAGTATATATAAATTAATCCAAACAAGCTCAAATTGTGAATCAAACTTAAATGTGCTACGAAAATCAGGCTTAGAATCAAACTTGGAAGAAGCCCTTGATTTGGATGTCTCTTTACTCTTAACTTCCATGTTCCCTTCCCAGCTTTTTCGCAGCGCCTTAGCACCAAGCTCAATTCCTTGAACCAAATTTCTAATCGAGTTTCCAACCGCAATTCTCTTCCCAAGAGGACTAACGCCACGAACACCCTTTCCTGTCTCCACCACTCCCACCTTAGCAATCAACCTATCCACTCCATTGATACTTGCTTGATTCTTTACTCCATTAGAGAATTTCTCAAAAGTAGTCGGCATAGAATAGCAACTAGTAGGCGAAGAAGGAACCATAGTCCTTGAATTCAATGACTTCAATCTTGCTAACTTTTCCTTCTTCACAAAATCAACAACAGAATCTTTTGTTGTCTGAGATTTACATCTACCAAAAACCATCAATTTCTTATCCAAATGTTGTTGATGATTCTCCAAAACCTTCATTTGGGACTTTGAACAAACACCATTCTTCTTAACCTTAACCTCACCACCATTGCTAAGAAAACCAAGTGAGTTAGTTGCAACAATATCTTCAGGACTCCCAACACAAGCATGTCTACCAGGAACAGGCCTAACACCCCGAAGAAATACTTTACAGAAAATATAAAATAATCATAATAAATAATATTAAAAAATAACAGTAAAAAAAATGAAATAAAAATGCCAAATGGGCTCAATTAGAGACTATTTTAACGGGCCTGTAGTTTGTACTAAATTCAAAGCTTTAAATTTAGTTTACCCCCTTGTAGTAACAAATGAAAAAGATCTCTTTTAACCAGTTATGAATAAGAATTTTCTTAGAAAAATAACAGCGAACGTTTTATAATAATTTTTTCTAAAATAAATTAGCAACAAAAATGACAGATGAACTGATTTTAAAGATCCCAATGGGCTAGCTAAAGAAGAAGCCTTAATGGGTCTGTAACTCGGAATTGTACTGATTTTAATTCCAATTAACAACTTAAATTTTTGTTGGTTTTAAGACTTAAGGACATAAAAGTTATTTGAATAATTTTTTCCATTTTCAAGTCGCATGGGCCATAGGCCAACATGTCGTACGAATAGGTTTACACGAGTCTTTCTGATTTAAAAAGCCTCACCTTCCTGAATTTAAGGTACACCCCCTAGTTGGATAAAGAGGGACCATCAGATACTGTTGTACCGTTTTTATTTGAATATTTCTTCAATTTTAATCTCGAAAAATAAAATCATCGAGGTACGATAAATTTGGGGTACGACAGTTGCCCCTATGCAATTATCTTCCAGTCAAATGGCGTGAGAAAACTCGAGTCTTGCGCATTTTGATTGGAAGTCTATTGAATACTTGAAGTATCCCTAGATTTGTCCGACAAACATAAGGTTACACTGATATAGCATACCCTTACAAGTCTCAAGGAAGTATGCAAAGTTGATGACATATCGCTTACCGGGGTTTGATTATGAGGTTGATGGTTTTGAACTTAAGAGCGCAATTTTGTATATCTTGGTTTTACTTTTGATCACTCACCCATTTGGAGGATGAGTATAACAATGATTGATGATGCATGGCTGCTTGAAGACTGAGGCCATGGGTTATGTTCGCGAATCAATTCATGACGTTTGATGCGATAGGTTAATCCTTGTATTTCGGAGCATCAGTGCGTGAAGTCTGAGGCGATAATCAGTGTTTACGGAATAAAGAAACGCATTGCTTCATGAAGTCTGAGGAAATGGGTTAAAGTTTTGTTTTCTTTTGAGCATCGCTGCATGAAGTCTGAGGCGACGATCCGCGCTATGGAATAACGAAACATATTGCTGCATGAAGTCTGATGCAATGGGTTACAATTTTGCAAATCGTTGCGTGAAGTTTGAGACGATAAGCTAGATTTGGTTTTCGGACATCACTGCATGAAGTCTGAGGAGATGGTCTGTGTTACGGAATAGAGAGATGTACATTACTGCATGAAGTCTGAGGTAATAAGCTTGGTTCACAAATCGCTGCGTGAAGTCTGATGCGATAGGCTGGATTTTATGGAATAAAGAAACACATTGTTGCATGAAGACTAAGCCAATGGGTCAGGTTCGCAAATCACTGCGTGAAGTTTGATATGATAAGTTAAATTTGTTGTTTAGAACATCGTTGCATGAAGTCTGAGACAATGGTCTGGAGTTTGGAATACATTGCTGCATGAAGTCTGAGGAAATGATCTATGTCGCAGAATAAGAAACACATTGCTGCATGAAGTCTGAGGCAATGGGTTAGGTTTGCAAATCCCTACGTGGAGTCTGATGTGATAAGCTAAATTTATTGCTTCGAACATCACTGCATGAAGTCTGAGACGATGATATGGAACTTGGCATAACGAAACACATTGCTGCATGAAGTCTGAGGCAATGGATTAGGTTCGCAAGTCACTGCGTGAAGTATGGGGCAATAAGCTAGGTTTTGCGAAAACATTGCGGCTTAGAAGCAATGTAATGAGTTTGGAGAATGCGTTGCGGTTTAGAGGCAATGTGTTGGCTTGTGTGATACGGTGGGAGAACTGACTTGGGTGTTTTGCGTTTTATCGCAAATGTTGCGGTTAGCAAGAGTCGTCACCTACTTTTCTTTTATCCAAAAGGAAAGGCTGAAAAGAACAGGAAAGACCTTTGAGATTATTTCTTGAGTTCGGGGGGTAGATTATGAAAATGGAAGGTGTTAGCACCCTTTTCATCCATAGCTATCTATGGGCTCTTAGTTGCTTGGTAGATTACTTGCTTTTGTTTGAAAAGGTGCTTTGTGTGGTTTTTGAAAGTATTTTTAAAAGGCGCCATCGTTTAGACAAACTTTGTAATAGTTCTCGTTCGTAAGAACGTATACAAAGTGTTGAGCTTTTGAAAATGTTTCAAGTTTGGAAGATGTTTTAAAAGTGTTTTTGAAAGTGTTGGTGTTTATTTTGAAAATAAGCAAGAGTGTTTGATTTGAAATTGGGCAAGAAACTAAAAACAATCTACCTACTCAAAAGTCTTAGTTCATTTCTTCCTTTCCTTTGATATTTCTATCTTACCATTGGTTTGGTAAGAAGCTCTATCTTTGGATGTAAAGGGACGGGTGTGGGTCATCGTATAGCCATGATAGCAATATTGTGAAATATCTTAGCAATTCTCTTTAAGGAACTAAGATCATTTTGAAAGACAACTTTGATAGCGTCATCGAGGGACTACGATCTTGTATTTTTTTATTGCTTTTGATAAGATACCCCACATGCATAACACGACCATTTTGGTAAGGCAACAAAGTGGAATTACCCTAAGGATGCAAGTGTGCAAGTGTGTTGATTTACATGCATTGTTTTGTCTTGAATTAGGGTTTGCTAACTTGTTGATTTTAATCTTTTCATACAAACACTAATTTACTAGCATTTATATAGAAAACATTAAATTGCGCAAAATAAAAATACTAAGCTATTACATCATTAAGGGGGTATACAAATTTACAAATGGGGATTTTGCAAGAAAATTAAATCTAATTAACTATTACAACCATATTGAATATTGTGCAAAAATTGAAGATAAAGTGCAAGAATGCAAAATGGAAAAAGAAATGATTTTTTTATTTGATTTTATGAAAGGTTTTAACCTAAACCTAATTGAGAAAATAATTAATAAAAAATTAACTAAAATGAACTTAAACTAATCAAGAAAAGAATTTAATTAAAAAAAATGATTTTTTAGGGTTCTTTATGAAAAGGTTTTAAATAATGAAAATAACATGAGAATTGATTAATTAAAAATAAATCTAAGTTCTAAATTAATTTTTAATTTACAAGAAAATAATGTGATGATTAACCTAAGTCTAAACATTAATTATTATTAAAAAAAAGAATTAATTTGTTAAAAGAAAATATTTTGGTCTTTTTATTTTATGGAGAAAAATAAAATATTAATGAATATTTTTTAAATATGTAAATAAATAAATAAATATATGTTTGCATTTTTATTAATAATAATAATAATAATAATAATAATAATAATAAAAGTAATATGAAAAATAAAATAAAGAAAAAGAAATAGAAATAATAAAAAGGCCAGGGGGGAAAGTCAGCAAATAAATAGCCAGACCCAAGTTGGAGGCCTAACGCTGCAAACAAAAATATAAAAAAAAGGTGAAAAATATGAAAAATAAGCAAAAGGGTACCACTGGGGCTCGAACCCAGGTCCCTAAGGTAACAGACACGCGCTTTAACCACTGGGGTGTTGATACACCCGTTAATTTAAACAAAGCAATAAATATATGATACAAGATTTGTCCTGACTGTACTTCATCTTCGACCTCCAGCCAAATGATCTATAACTTGTTCATTTCTCAACCATTTTCAAAAGTGTAAACATGAAACTTGTGCATTTTCCACCACGAATTCAACCATGTAACTAACTTAAGCTAAGATTCAAGGATAAGGATGAATTTATGAAAGTACTAAATTCTGACCTAAATATTTCAGCAAGTTCAAACTCAAAATTCCCCATGCTTAAACAACATAAATGAAATCTATGGACATGTATAGCTTCAGAGCAATGATATCTACATTCTATCTTCACAAATGCAAGCCTAACAATGCCTAAATAATGAGATAGAAGTTCAAGAAAAATACCTCAAAACTAGAAAAATCGTGAAATGAGTTTGAGCTTGTTTCAAGTGATGGTGATGATCAGGTTAGCTTCCTTGAACCTCTACGAAACTAATGCAATGGCTGGCTTGAACTGAGAGTGGCTGGAATGGTCTGGAGAAGTCCAACTGCAATTCCTTGTTTTTGAACTTGGAAGTTGATGAAGACGAGGTTACAGTCTGCAAACAGGGACATGGTTGGTTTGTATTTGATGTGAGGAAGCTTTTAAAACTGAAAGGCCAAGAAACGCATGAGGGAAATGGAAGTTTGAATTTCTTGGTCAGAATGTGCAACAATGGTGATTTGTGATGCAATTCTGAGTTTGGGGAAGTTTGAGAGTTTGTGTATTTGTGTGTTTGCTTGCAAATAACTTGTGCATATGTATGAAAAAGATTGATGCACTTGAGATGGTCAGAAGCACAAGATATAGAATTATGGCTATGTTACTTGGTTTTGAAGAAAAGTGAAAACATGGTTTCAAGGCATAGTACAAGCATGGAATGAGTTCATGGGAGGATCTAGACATGTTTCTTTTTCCTTTGACATTGCTTGTGATCATAAGTAAACAAGTACAAAGCTCTATGCATTGACTTTGTGATTAAAGCCTCTTTACAATAATGGAATGGTAACTTTGTGCCATAAATGGAAATGCAACTTGGATAATGGCTCAAGTGCTTGGATCAAAGCTCTAATAGTTGTGTAAACATTTAATTATGGAGTGACAAACAAGTTTTAAGCTTGTAAAGCAAAGATTATGCATCCTAGCTATGAATTGGACAAGTGTTCATCACAAATTCTGCCTTGTAAATCAAGAATGAAACCCTAACTTCATCTCTTAGATTCTCTTAGCTTAAGTATGATCTCAATGAGTTCTTTGACATTTTGGAAAGCTTGTAACATCCTCTACAACCTCTATGTTTGTCATTTTTGAAAATTCATCTTGTAACTATGTGAAAAATTGCCATGAAGTTAGGTCAAAATCCTGCCTAAACTAGGGCAAAAATTCACTAAGTTTCCAAGTTTCATGAACATGTATTCACAAAACCATAACTTGAAATCCATGCATTTCTAGGAGAAGTTGTGTTCTATAATGTTTTAGATCTAATTGAGATCTACAACTTTCATGTTGAAAGTTTCCTTTGAATCATCTTGCATCATGATGAAAATTTTGCAGAAAATGTTCAGGGAAAACTTCAAAGTTCAGGACAAAATCAATGAATCTATTTAAACTATGCTCAAGATGATTTTGGCAAAAATATTTGAACCCTCATCATCTGCTCCTGCAACTTCTGAACCTTAGGCTCTAGGATTTTTCATGTTTGTTCTTAAAACCATAGGACTATACTTATTTAATGTTTGTAAGAATTTTCTTTGTGGATTTTGGTTTGTTATACTTCTTTTAACTTACCTATCATGTGACCATTTAAATTTAATGAAGTTTTCTATTGACACATCAATGAAACTTCTTATCTTTTCTAGATTATTTCTTCTAGTTTCTATGTTTTTCACACATAATTACCTTTTTTATTATGACAAAACGGGGGAGTAATTTAAATGGACGTAATTTTGATTTCACTAATCAAGTTCTCAAAAATATTCCCTGAAAAGAGCTGGTTACATTTTAACCCAGTTAAACTCCTATTTCTGTTAAAATTGTTTTTCTTTTTCAGGAAATTAGAACTCTGATTAAAAGAAAAAGATCTGAAAGCACTATTCAAAGCTTATGTCTAACCTGTTGGCTCCAGACTCTGAAGATGTTCTTCAATTCATAATCAGACTTCAAGAAGTAAAACCTAGAATCAGACTCCAAAATTGAGATCTATTGAGAATCTGGAAGATGTCTTAGTCACATTAAAGTTTCAAAGATTCAATAAATAAGTTATGTA